AATTTAGCTGTGATTGTTGAGAATTGACATGATTCGTTAAGGATATGAGACAAAAATTAAATAACATGCTAAGAATGCGTAACTCTCTCCGATCGCATGCAATCGGAAAGACCATGAAACCAGCCATTTAACGCTGATCACTATCTCTGCTAGGGCAACAACATTAACGCAATGAATGAGATTAAGCTGGGCGGAGTTGCCTACGAATCGCTTCTGTTCTGTAAGGAATAACCGAAAAGTTCTAACACATGCTATCACCGTGATTATTTTAGACCTTGACTCCCACATTAATAACAAAAGCAATATGGCAAAGCCCTTTATTGCATTCCTCTACGGTTTTTCCCATGTTTTGTAATGTCCTGAAAAGGTATCGACAGTTGTAGGCGCGCAAGAGTATCTGAAAAAATTGTCATCTACTGCATTCCTCACAAGTCGGCAAAAGCTAATGGGAAAACTTCTACATATGGAAGAACAGGTCTTCAGCAGCCTTGTAACTCCCATTTAGTTTCCAAATAATACGTTTGCCCAAATGGGAGTTAGACATATTGGAATGTTTGCGAGCTTCTCTGAATATTAAGGTTTCAAAGCAGCTAGGAACCTCCAACGGTTCCTTTGTGAGTTCATTCATTATTAAGGCAACACTAATTTTCCTTAGAGAAAGCGTTACTGCAGAAAAATAACTAATGCATGTTTTGTTTTGCTTAAGGTAGTTTGGTTTGTATACAACCGAATGTGGGTAAAATCTCCTTACATAATCATGAGCTTTTGTTTGCAAAATAAGTTGTGGTGGTGTCCTGACAAGTAGCCTGTGATTAAGTTTTCTCCTAGAACTCGGTCGAAATTGATATGATAATGAGAAAAATAGGGTGCTTACTCAAATGTATATGTAATTTGCTTTTGAAAAATGGTTATTTATTCAAGACACGAACAAATAGAACTCCCTGCGAGCTGAAAGTTTGTCCCTCTTTCTGTCTTCAATCAGATTATCTTCATTTGCAAACAAAAGTGCTATTGGACTAGCCAATCCAGAAATTCAGAACCAAGAGTAAAACTGGACCGAAAGCTTTGTGATTCCGAAGAAACCATCATCGAAAGCGCGGTTCTAAAGAATTTACACAAAGACTCGCGACGCAAGATCCGAATAAGAAACATCGAAAATTTCAAGAAACCGCATTATCCCCAGTAATCGATTCCATTTCAATGGTTAGAATACTCTCCGAAAAAATGTTGCTTTGGAAACCAAATTTTCCGTAAAATTGAATTTAATTTGGGGTACAAGTGGAAGAGAGATAGAGAAAAGTCTTAGTTCAATTTATATGCAGTGGTGCATATAAACAAAGAAAAAGAAATAATTTCCAAAAAAGGATTCCAATTTTCTGATAAGAGGTTATGGTATATATTTACACAGTAGGGATGTGC